AAAGCTTGTTGTAAACCTACACCATTAAATACCCCAGAAAACTGTATATGTGATACTTAAATAATGTTACGAAATTATTTGCATCTTCTTAGTAAGTAATCGTTAATGATTTTTAAATAAACTAGTTATTAATAATAATGATACGACATATTTTAATCCATGTAACTACCATATTTACTGTGTGCTACTTTGCTAACATTTTAAATTAATTACTTATTTGGTTTTTAAACGACTTCAAAAAAGGAGGAGCTTCACAGTTCGACTGTATGTTTTTTTTTGTGTATTTGTGACGCGATTACTTCGCCAATTATGAATCGATTTTCAAATATCTTTTTTATTCGACCATTAAATTTGTTTTCAGTTTTATAGATTTAAGAGACGCAGCATTGGTAGGCCCCTACAAGGTGGACCAACGATCTGGTGAAGATCGCGGGAAGCCGCTGGATGTGAGAGGCGCAGGATAGATCACAGTGGAGATCTTTGGGGACGGTCTATGTCCAGCAGTGGGCGTCTCTTGGCTGAAATGATGATAGATTTAACGTGCCTTTCCAAGCACAGAGGAATTCGAGACAGTAAATTGATGGTCCGGCCATTGCGAAGGTTGCTTAACAACCATATCGCAGACCGAACGCGCTAACCACTGCGCCACCGATACCAATGTAACTTTTACTAAACAATATTGTTGCATGAAATGGATTAAATGCATTTTCACTAACTGAATAGTATCTTTGTTTAGGTTTTATTATCTGAAACAAAATTGTATTAAAACAAAAACTACAGGAAATAAACCGTCACATGTAGTTAAGATCAAGTAACATTGTACGTAACTTTATGACCCTGACAGTGGTGGTTAACCACCTGACCTTTCAATCACACTTGTTAATTTACGTAACCAACTATTGCTAACTCCTTAGTTTGGTCGCGAAGTTCTGACATTTTCTTAATTTCCTTTTATAGAATAGAAAAATAGTTATGATGACTTATCTTTCCGGTAGGTAGATTATTATTTAAAAAAATACATATTTTTAATTATGTGTGTGTGTCCTACTTTTCATTTGAAATTGAAAATCTTAGTTACCACATAACTTAAATGGTATGAAGTATGATATGATATCTTTTAATTATTATTTATTTATTTTTCACGATTTACATTTTTTTTTATTTAATATTGGTATGGAACCTTCGGATCGCATGTCTCAAACGCTCTTAACCTTGTTTTTTAAATATTTATTTTATTTAAATATAAGAAATAATTCTTTTATTTTGTCACTTTTATTATCTCTCTTGTTGATTATTTACTTACTTAAAAATAGTTATATATAAGGTGTAATTTTATTACGTGTCAGGACTTTATGAGTTAAATTACCTGAACAACTTTTAGTATATAAGCAACACTAATTTCACGAAATATAATCACCACCACCATAGTAAAAGTTGTTCAGCCTATGTAACTCATCCACCCTTCGAAGTCCTGGCATGTAATTATATAAGACCTTGTATAATTGCTTTATTTTACTATTATTGCTGTAGATAACACAGATCGTTGCACTTTAAGAATGGACTAGATATTGACACTTGCTCATTGTGAGAATAAGATTAGCTGACCGAAGGGTGTTTTTAAAAAAACACGGAAACCAATTAACTTTGTAGGAAACGCGACATCTTATCGTATTTTATCGACATAGCTAACTATGTAATACGCGCCAAGAGCAAATACTGGTTCTCTTAAGAATATATACCTGTATAATGTCTAATTAATCGACAATTATATCCTTACTTAGTGTCCGCAAATGACATATTGATAATAATGTAAATAACAATTGATATACGTAAGGATCTTTATTTATTTAGAAAAAATATTTAGAAAACTACGTAACGGAGTGCCACTTCTCTGAAAATTGTCTCTCTCTCTCTTTTTACAGTAGAAATGACTGTTTGAAGGTCATTACACTTAGCGAGATAAAACATTTTCAATTCCAAACTTTAAACTGCAAATAGCTAATACGTTGTAGCATCAAATAAATAAACCACACCCTTTAAATGAAAACGCAAACTCCACAGATTATTTTATGACTGAGAATTGATTCAGTGATTACCATCTTGCACACTGAAGCGGAACCCTCTTCGGCAACATGCAATACTAATTCCATATTCACGTTCCTGAATTAACCTATCTTTCGCTCACATTATGGCATCCTACAAAAGGAAATAACAAATATTATAATACATACATGAGTACAGTGAAACATTGTTCAAGTCGGGTTTTATGAAAATTTACCACACATGATATAATTAATTAATTTATAAATAAATTACCTCAACAGTTATTAGTATTATCCTTGTATTTTTCTATTCATATGTCAAATTGAGCTCTTATAGATCAAATATAAACATAAAAATAATATGTCTAATACTATCAATATAATACATAAAATAAACTTATATTTATCAGTATAATTTTGTAAACTAAGATAGTGCAACATGTATTTAACACAGTTCAAGAATACAGGTTGTTTAAACATCTTCTTTTGAAGTGAAATACTTCTAAGTAATCTTAATGGGGTAAAACATTTCATCAACTAATCAAAATAAAAGCATTTTTGATGTGTGAATGTCAACAATAAAACTTTTGTTGAGGGATTCTGAATAATATAGTAAGACTTGAAAATAATGTTTAAAGTAATATTGTCAGAGCAGCGAGTCGTATAAAAACTTTTTGAGAAAGTACACAGAGCATCCCATAAATTATTTCAACTTTTCTTACGAAAAAACTGAGTTTTAGAAACCAGTTCTCAACTTAGTTGTTCTTAACTCTTAATTTACTCCGCTTAATTATAAGCGCCGTTGAGATTTTTTATACACTTACTTTTTATAAGTTGATACATATTTCTAAAATAATAATAAAAAACAATTAACGTAATTTTATAGAACAAAAACCTTATATCACTTTTCAGAAAACTTAAGTATAAAAATATAAAATATTTTCTATTTAGCTGTGTAATGAATTGGAAAAATAATCTGTTAACACCTTGATTGAAAAGCTCGATAACGCCAGTCATATAAAAGCATGGACCAAATTAATCTGGTTTCTTTTCAAATTCAAATAATCCATAATTTTGAATCTAGAAAATTCTAGTATTAAGATCTTTTCTTATATGTTCAGCTGTGCATGGTTAGCCGTATTACGTCATTTTAAAGTAATATAGCAGACGTCTCTAGATGGCGGGCTAATTATTTTTTGTGCATTGTCGTGTAATAATCGTAAGAGCAAGCGCCAAATTGATTGTTTGGTTAAGAAAATAAATGACTATCACTTTATATGGTGAATTTATGTTTGAAGCATTTACGTAATAAGAGATTGTGGAGAAAATTTTGAATGAATAAAAAAACATTTCAAAAAATATTTCAAAGCGCAGCTTGAAATATTTTTCTTTTAAGTAAAAAATATACTTTGAAGTAAATCAAACCCACTTTGGTATATTCAAATACAATATACTCACTAGATACTTTTATAAATTGACTAAAAAATAGAAGAATAACAATTCGAAACAAAACATAAATAGGTCAATCGGGATCCTACTAAATATTAATACATTCAAAAATACTAATTCTTTAACTAATTAAATAATATTAATATAGCATCATAAATCAAAACATTATCAAATAATAAATCTAATTCTTTGTTTACAATAATTGAGGTTACATCTCTCTAACTATGAAATAATAGTGACAGTAGCAAATTGTTTATTAATGTTTCAATAATTTGTGTAATAAAATTAAAAAGTCGGTAGTGTAATAAGCTACTCCAACTTTAATTGTACCTATCTCAGACACTAAATTAACAATTAATTAGGCATCTAAATAATTAAGAGAAGTTATACTAGACGTAGACTAGCCATATTGAAAATATAATTAAAAAGTTTTCTAAATGAAAAATGCTTAAAAAATCCACTTTGTCGCTGGCACTCTGAGAAAAACAAGCTTTTATTTGTGCGCACTAATACGTAAATAAATAAATTCTACACATTTAAAGTACTTAAAATCAATTTTTTTTTCTAACAGTAATTCATTTGAAAAGCTTGTATTTCCTCGTCTCCGATTTTATTAGACCTACAAGCTTATATATTTTGTATTATATTTTTACTATTTAGTTTTGTATTAATGTATTGTTATTCTCATAAAGATGAATTTAAAGAGCCTAAACACGATGCAGTTGGGTTATTTCATTGCTAAGTTCCTATGATCACCTTTCAGCCATTGCCAGTCCTTGTTTTGGAAAGCATCCAGTACCAAAGTCCACATAAAAACGGATCTAACGAGCCCAAACACGATGCAATTGCATCATTTCATCACAAAGTTTCTATGACCAATTTCCGACTTCATCATCAGATTTGCGAACTGTTTTACATACTTACAAGGCAAATTAAATAAGAGCTTGAAAAATAAATAAATGAATAAAATTTGTTTTCTATAGTAACCATTTACTTGGTGGATTTTAAATGTTTGTTTTTTTTTCATTAAATTAAGAAAAAAAAGATTTAATAAAAATCCAATATAAAGAGAAATACCAGTAATCTTTCCTAATTCGTACCCGATGTCTCAATTGCAAGAATACTCTTTGAATTTTTATTCTCTTTACGAAGATTCTAGGTCAATGTTGACGAAAAAACCATAGATTGTATAAACAATGTGACAACAAACTGTCAATAAACAGTGAATATTGAATTGGTAAACAAAACCGATACCAATTAACCATCAATACAAACTTCGAAATAAGCATCGAATGCTGTTCACCAACGAAACGGCGCGCACGAAAACTGAAATCTCATTTGATCCAATCAACGCATAACGATCAAAATGACATGTCATTATCAGACTAGCGACCAAGAACAATGAATGATAAAACAATGAAAAATATGAGCGTAGCTTTATCAAGCGGGCCGTAACACACAAGTGTATTGGCGGCGTCGCCCCGCCACGGACACTATGCCACATTGACAGCTGAAACTGTCAACAAAGCGGCAGCATTATCCTCGGTGCGTTCAACTGAACACACGCGCAAACTGCGAATCACGAACAACACGTGGCCTAATATTAGACCGGCGGAATCAGCCGGTAGCAGGCATGACACAGACAGTTGGAATCACTAAAACACTCCTTATATTGTGAAATAAACTCTGTTACCGGCACAGATCATAAATGTTAATTTCAAGTCAGTGTAAAAATGAGCAGCGGAAAATGGAGGGAGTATGCAGCGGCACTCAGTGGTTCGTCATTTTATCTTCTTTATTTTTATTGCTGTCCTATTTTTTCATCTATATGGAATCTGATTAGGGCATGGCAACACTATCAGTATTTTACGTGCTGTAAACACAGTTTTGATAAGATATCATTTCGTTATTAATTCCAGACTGCATTCATTAAATTAAATGTTATTGGTTTTTTAATCTATATGATTTGATACTGACAATTATTGTTGTTTAGTTAGAAAGAAAAAATACTATTATTATTTATTGATAAACTATTCAAATTATTCTTTAGAATGTTGGAGGTACTATGTGCTGATTCATGTGATTATTATTTATACTGAAGTCACGGTCTCGTAATAGTTACATGATAACCTTAAATATTGCATACGTTGTCTATTGTTTCTATGAAATGTGAAGCAGTCTATATTTAGATTTTATCATTCTCATATAAAATTCATTCTATTATTTTATTTTCCTTTTGTTGGGTATTAATTTTGTTTTAACTGACTGTCGAAAAAGTCAATAGGTACCTATTTACTTGTACTATCTGTTTCTATAACCTCATCTGAAATACTTGTCGATTTTTTTCGGGATGGGGGTATGTCTTAAGATTTTAATTAGATAATTTATAAAGAAAATATTATTTGACAAAAAAAGACATAATCTAACCAATATTATCTTTCATTATTACCAGTAAAAACAATAACTGTACTACCTAAAGACTACCTATTTAATGTCCGATTATTTTTAACCAACTTCTAAAGAGGAGGAAACTTATCAATTTGGCCTGTATATCTATAATTTTATATATGTCAGTCTGTGTGAATTTCTAAACACGTGTGGCAATTTTCGTATTTGTGTGTACTTATTTCTGCATGTTTGTCCATTCTATGTATTATATTATATTTGTATCTTTAAACTTCTATATCATACTAGCTGACCCGGCGAACGTACCGCCATATACCCGTTTTTTATAAATTATATCTTTTTATAAAATTTCTTATATACAAACCTTTTTACTGACAATAAGGAACACATAAAAAAAGAATCATTCAACTTGGTGCAGTCGTTTGGAAGTTATGCGCGTACATACATTTTGGCGATTCGTTTATATATTATAAAGATTTGTGTTTTGCAAATTAGGTATTGATTGCAGTTATTCCTTTTTTTATGGTTTATAAGCCTTCAACATAAGGAACAGCACTAGTTACAATTAATCGGTTGAGTACTTTTAAAGATATTAATCAAATTGTAAATATAATACCCGGCAGACTTCAATGGATGTTTCATGTATATTTATTTTTATTTTTTTTATTAAGTTTTTGGAATGCTGTCTTATTAGTTAAAAATATATATTATACTAGCTTTCCGCCAGCGGCCCGCGTGGTTCCTAAGGAACTGTTTGTTTCTTATAGATATCGATTCATATCATGAAACGGATATAATTATAATGATAAATTAAATAGTAAGCAATATACACTCACATTTTCATTCCTTTATTTTTTTCGGGATAAAAGCTCATGTTCACCGCATATGATATAACTTGCCGAAGGTGAAAGAATTTGTGATATCGGTACAGTAGTTTTGTAGCCTATTTAATGCAAACAAACAAACAATCAAATCTTTCCTCTTTATAATATTAGTGTAGATTTTTAATAGATCATTATTGAAATTATTTTAAAACCTTTGATATAACCATTGCACTTAAAGATCCATTAATTATCATCAGCCCTTTTACGTCCCCACTGCAGAGACACGCTAGCCCAATGCGGATCGGAGGGTATTAACGACTGCAAATGCAGCCGGGACCAACGGTTGAACGTGCCATCCGAAGCACGAAGTAGCTCGAGATAATAATTTTTTGTTCACCCATCCAGTGACCGACCCTTGCGAAAGTTGCTAAACAACAACGATCGCGGACCGCGGCGCTTATCCATTGCGCCACCGAGCTACTTTACACTTATAAATGAAGTATTGGTGATTCACTGACTTATTCATCATCGCCGAGCGCAAACTATTGAGTGTGGATCTATAACCTTTGACCAGTAGTTATTTTGTGAAAGAGACACTAGATATGTACGGATTTTTGAAAATTCAACCCCTGACGGGATAAAATGGAGGTTGAAAGTGTATATTGAAGTCCGATAGTTTTGAAGTATAATCATTTTAAATTAACAGGTGGACGGATTGACAAACTTACTTTTAATATTATGATATAAGTAAACAAAAATATTAATATTTCAAATCAAATTGTAGTTATTCTAAAATATGTACAACATAATCACTCGAACAATACTTATTCAATTGCGTAAATTCACAAAAATATAGCCTCAATTAACTATTGTTAGTAAAATTGAAATAATAATAAAAACAAATATGAAATTGAAATAATAATAATGTTTAACCACGTGGTATTAGTAACTCTGTTATTAAGGCATTTACACGTATTATAGCGAGCAGTCAGTTAAAGTTAACATGTTTTAATGCGCATAAACAATAATGTATTCGCGTTAGCGTTCAAATCTTTATTTTCAAATATTACGTGCAGTTTACGTAAGTAGCTCGGTGGCGTAGCGGATAAGCGGCGCGGCCTGCGATCGTTGTCGTTAAGCAACTTTCGCAAGGGTCGGTCACGGGATGGGTGACCAAAAACTATTATCTCGAGCTACTCCGTGCCTCGGAAGGCACGTTAAGCCGTTGGCCCCGGCTGCATTTGCAGTCATTAATACCCTCCAATCCGCATTGGGCCAGCGTGGAGGGTCATGGCCCATCCTCCTTAACCATCCATAAGGAAGGCCTGAGCCCCTGCAGTGGGGACGTAAAAGAGCTGACGATGATGATGATGACGTGTAGTTTAATCTGTATAATGGTTTCAGTCGAAACTATTGTAAGTTGAATGAGTCGTTCAGAAGATCAGATAAAAGAAACTACGTTTATCTATACATAGCATAAAGCAGCCCTTCCCAAAAATCCCAAAATAACCCCATGTGGGCGCTGCAGGCCTAAAGGGGGGCGGCAAGACACTCAGAAGAAAAATGGGGGCGTTGTGTAGAGAACAAATAAGGAACACTTTTCGACATGACCGACAGTCATGTTTTATTTCATGTCTCCTAAAAAGGTAGGTTATTACGCCCCTTTGGTTTGAAGCCCACGATATATTTTAATATGTATATTAATTTCAGTTGAAGCTATTGAAGGTGTTAAAGGGATTTTATATTTGTTTGAAATAGGAGACAGATAAATAAATATTAGATACAATAATTATACTGTCTGACTAATTTCAAACAAAACCAGTTTTATTTTAAACGATTTTATATGACATGTATCTTCTTAAATCTTACAACTTAATTTTATCCTTAACGAATTGAGATATAGTTTAGACGATTCAGACCAAGAAAAGTAATTCGTTAATCTATTTTTTATTAAAGGGCAAAGGACTGACTTGAGTAACTGATCTATAAACTAACAGCTGAAACTACAGTACAAATTGAGCTGAAATTTGGTACCCCAACAGCCAATTGCAAATGTACATTAAAATTATCATTAGTTTAAAGCGACATTACCGATATCAATTCTCATTCATTAGAGCTTAAAGGCGTCATTAAAAATTAATAAATTTTTGTGCAACTGACCGTAACAGCTTTGACGACAAGATTCGAGGATGTTTAATTATTCATTACCTAATAGAAAAAAGAACATGAATGAAATTAATAAAAAAAGAGTAATGTCATGTAATCTATATATAACTACATGAAAATATTGCACAAGTGTAATTTTAAAAATGAAAGACTCAGTTTCAAGGCTAATAGTAATGAAATGAAAGATGTTTTTTTAAAGTATTCATTTTGTCCCTTATCTATATTTTTTTATTATTATATATGTCGGCGGGTAGTCAGAACGGGCTATTAAGAAGCCCAAATAGATCGTCCATATCCGAGGACTATCTTTAAAATAACACTGCAGGCGTGTATACCAACGTGGATTTGTTCCATTTTATCACTTTTCATACGAAAATATAACGAGATGAGCGTGATGTCGTCCGATGTCTTTACTTCTTGGCGATCGGAAACAGATTGTGTGCGAAAAATGGCTGCAATTTGCTTTTTGCTAACGAACTATTAATGTCAGTGTCACCATTCTAATAAAATTAAAAGTATCGATGATCACGCTCTCTCTACAATCGAGTTAAGAATGAAGTAATCGAGTAACCAGCAATTAAAATAAAAGAAACTAAATCAAACGATCTTGGTAAAGATGATGCGACATATAGTATATTTAAAAATAATATATTTGTCATACGTTGTTAACAACTTTTCCTTATTCAGTTTTATTATTTACCGCCCAAAAAACTCTTGTTAAAAAATTTTATAGTTCAGTAGTTTCGGAGTAAATTAAATATAATAAACGGACGGATAAACAAACTACTGAACTAAGTGATATTTATAAAGATTGCGCTTTTTCCTTGTAAGAATAAAAAATACCATCAGTATATTGTAACGGATTACAGGAAAAAATTGTATTAATTTCAAAATTTCATATCAAACGAATACTCAAATTGAAATTTTGAAGTAAAATATAATAGCGCGATCGCCGAACTGAAAGAATTTCGTACTATGACACGTATCTCTATCTCTTTCATTCAAATATATTGGTATTGCGCTCACACAGACGCATCTAACCAATTTTTTCATAGCAAAGTAAACTTTAAATGTTCACAATATCTATCAGTGGACACAAACGTCAACGTAGAATTTCTCTCTTTTCGCCGACTTAATTAATTGTAATCTCGTATAATGTTTTTGTTTTTGTTGTCATTACTTGTATATTAAAAATATCAAACAATGTATAGTTGAGTGATAAAGGCGTTCAGTCTGCGATTGCTGGGGTTAACCAACTTTCTCAAAGGTCAGTCCTCTGATATAGGTGACCAAACATTTAATTTATCCGCACCGCACAGAGTCCTTGTATGTATAGAAGGCACTGTAAGCGATTCCTATCTCTATCTTCGTTCAGCGCGC